CCAATGGCCAGGAATGACAGAAGTCATAGCCTAGCATAGTTCAGTGGGATGTGGGCAGGCCTTAGGTTTGCATGCTCTTGCGCAACTGTCAGTTTGGAAGCTTCCACTGTTTTTCAGACCAAGGGCCAGATTCCCTCCCGGATCGCCTTCCAGGGGCCACATGCCAGGGCTGGGCAAGGTGAGAGAGGCAAAGGTGGGTCAAACAAGGAGCGCAACTTTTGCCTTTCTAGAGGAAGTTATATCTGATACACACACAACTATCTGCCCTCTACCAAAGAGGGAGGAGGCATTGTCAAGAGTTGAAAGGTACATCCCGGCTGGCTAAGGGGCGAAGCAGAGCCATGGATTCAGAGCAGTGAATTCAGAGGACCACAGACCACATGTGCATTTGGCCCCCCGGGTCTGAGGTTCTCCACCCTTGGCACATTAACACCATGTGCAAACCAGGTAAGTGTAAAGAGTGCCGTTTCAACCCAACCGTGGTGTATATTTTATACAGGAATCAGTTGCGGCAGAAGACATGCAGCCTCACACCTCTAGACCTGGCTTGGCATCAGAGATGAGGTTGGCAACCAAGATTTAGAAAGCTGAGGCATCTCTGTCCTTCAAGGGCACTATACCACTTTAAACAGTCATGGCTTCCCCCAAAGAATTCTGGGAGCTGTAGTTTGTTAAGGTTGCTTTAATTTGTGAAGTGGGCTGTGAGGTTTTTTTGCTTTTTGCAAATATACCTCTTCAGCACAGTGTCTTCCAAATACATTTCTGTTCCAAGCAAGCCATCAGAATTCATTGCCCATCCTCTTGCTTCTGTCGCGTTAATTCAAAGCATTCTTAATTCCAAGGCCTACCTGGGCTGAAGAAGACAAGGCCTTGAGAAAGATTCTGGTCAAGATGGCCGTCCAGCAGTGGACCACCTGCCTCTCAAACCCAAATATATCTCCATACTTTGGTTGCCTTTAAACTCGCCTCCGCCCATCAGAATTAATGTCAAAAAATATGATTTATATGATCTTTGAATCAAATACATTTACAGGCAAAAGCGGGCTGTGGGGGGGGGCAGGGGTTGATTCTAGGATTATGTCTCCAGGCTCTACCTAGCAATGGTTGATCTTTGCCTTCATTTGTAACTCAATGCCTTGAACAACCACTAGCATTTATTTTTAAATGCTGATAATGCTTTTATTGTAACTTTTTTTTCTGTACCCCCTTGCTAACAAAGTATTTTTATACACATGAAAAGCAAATCTTGGATTGAGAAGATAATGGTTTGTAAAGTAAAAAAAAAGGTGTGTGGGTTTTTTTTAGAAAAATTATGTTTGTATCTGTTCTGAAATTTGGTTTTAATGTAAAGTGTTTCAATATATTTGGGTTTGTTTATAAAGCAGAAGTGACCAGCTGCTCCTGGAAGCTAAAAATGAATTCTGTATCAACAAAAGTTTTACCTAAAATTATTCATGATGACAAGTTGTAAGAAACATGAGATTTTAAACCCCTGAGCTTTTGAACTACAACTCCCATCAACCTTGGCCGTACGGGCTGAGGCTTGTAAGAGTTGTTGCCCAACATGTGAGCAACCCCATGTTGGATATCCATGCTCTATACTTTATTGTTATTTATTTCATTTCTATACTGCTTTATATTTTTAAGAAAAACCTCAAAGCGGTTTACAGCATGTTAAATCAATAAAACATAAATAAAACAATTTGAAAAGAGTGAAATACAGTGGTGCCTTGGGTTAAGAACTTAATTGGTTCTGGAGGTCCATTCTTAACCTGAAACTGTTCTTAACTTGAGGTACCACTTTAGCTAATGGGGCCTTCTGCTGCCGCCGTGCAGTTTCCGTTCTCATCCTGAGGTAAAGTTCTCAACCCGAGGTACTACCTCCAGGTTAGTGGAGTTTGTAACCTGAAGTGTTTGTCACCCGAGGTGTTTTTATCCCAACTTACTACTGTATAGAGTATACTGTCAAAGCAATATAACAGAAAACTAAAATATTACCTTAAAAGATTTCAAAGTAAAACATTACAAAGGAGATCAACTACAGAATACAAATTTAACATAGTAGGGCTGGGTGAGTCTGGGTCCCGCCCCCAGGGCCAGGTGGGAAAGGCCTGGCAGGGAGTGGCCTTCACGCCTCACAGCCGGGCGATGTTCCTCCGGCCTCATGAGAATCCTCTCTAATGGGACCCAAGTGTGTTTAAGGCTGCAATTAACTTAATCTTCCCTAGATCTGCTTTTAGCAGAAGCATGTGCCACTTCCAGTGCCCATCTTCAAAGTCAGAGTAGCAATCTGGGGACACGTTTTTTTAAAAAAAGAGAGAAAAAAGTGAATTTTAAAACGCTATTTTTAAAGAACGCAGGTGGGATGCAGGTGGCGCTGTGGGTTAAAGCCTCAGCACCTAGGACTTGCCGATCGAAAGGTCGGCGGTTCGAATCCCTGCGGCGGGGTGCGCTCCTGTCGTTCGGTCCCAGCGCCTGGAACCTAGCAGTTCGAAAGCACCTTCGGTTGCAAGTAGATAAATAGGGACCGCTTACTAGTGGGAAGGTAAACGGTGTTCCGTGTGCTGCCCTGGCTTGCCAGATGCAGCTTGTCACGCTGGCCACGTGACCCGGAAGTGTCTGCGGACAGCACTGGCTCCCGGCCTATAGAGTGAGATGAGCGCACAACCCTAGAGTCTGGCAAGACTGGCCCGTACGGGCAGGGGTACCTTTACCTTTACCTTTATTTTTAAAGAAAAATTAAGAAGTAATCTCTTCTGTGGTCTCCTCTGTCGTGCAGCCTTCCTCTGGGCCCTGGCCTGCTCTCTTGGAGTGGAGTAGGCTCAGGTCGGGCCTGGGTTCGGTCACGTGTCCTTGCCCTCGCAGTGCTCTCCTCCCTCTGCTCCTCAGCGGCAGCAGTGGCATGGCAAGGTCGGGGATCCCCTCTTTTTTCTCCTTCCTCTTTCTCTCTCTTCCTTCTCCTTCTCCCTGACTTGGCTCCAGGGTTTTCCTCGCTCCTGGCTCGATTTGGGTCGTGGGGGGGGGTCAGTGGTTACCCCAGTTCCTCCTCAGCAGTGGAAGCGTCAGCGGCAGTCTCAGCACCCTGCAGCCAGCCTGGTAGCGCAGTTGACTCTGGCTGGCTTCAGGAGCTGCTGCCGCCGTGGCACCCGCCATTTTGCCTCGCCAGAAGTCCCCATATGATGTGTCTTGTGCCGTTGAAACAAGCATGCAACATTCATTCCCTCCTAATAAATGTACAACACTTAAAACCAGCCTTCCGCAGAAAAAGAAGCATCCCTTGTAAATCTCTACCTTTATTTCCCCCCCCCCGGCCTACACCCAGGCCCACGCTTTCTCCCCTAAACCAAAACCTAACCGCAGTCTCCAGGGATTGTGCTGAGGAGAGCTGCACTGAGGCACAATGGTGGGAGCCTCCCAATCCCCCTTAATCTTCCTAGGAGCAGGACTGTATAGATTTGGAACAGTGGTTTGCAGAGGAACATAGTTCAGAAGGCAGAAGCTGGGAAATACTGGATGGGGAACAGCTTGCAGAAGAAACTCCGGTGCGGGGGGAGAGTTAACAGATTCACTGTCTCTGGAAAGCATCCATCCGCTTTCCCCAAGGTCAGGGAGAGCTGCAAAAGTGGCAGGACAGAAAGCACAGAGGGTACGAGCCCAGGTTACAAGATGCAGAAGTGACCTGGGTGACTAGGGATGTGAGGGGGTGGACTTCTTCATTGGGAGCACTGCCATTCGTGTGAAGACGGGTTCTTTGTTCTCTCGCTGGAATCATTAAAGTTTCTAACTGGTAAGAAGACTCCTTTTCCTTTGTTCTGCTTATCTACGGCCAAGGGGGGAAGGAAGCCAATTCCCTGCAGCCTAACAGATGCTGATCCACAAGACAAGGGCAACCCATCATTCTGGCAGTGAAGGGCGGAGGTCAAAACTCAACAGATTCATCACACACCTTGAGCATTCCAGATTCACACTCTCCCCCGTTGTTTCTCCCCCGTGTGAGTTCGTTGATGTCTTCTAAGGGCTCCGCTATGCATGAAGCTCTTTCCACATTCAATACATTAACATGGTTTCTCCCCCGTGTGAGTTCGTTGTGTATTCTACGGTTCCTACTTTCACTGAAGCTCTTTCCACATTCAGTGCATTTAAATGGTTTCTCCCCCGTGTGAGTTCGTTGATGTATTCTACGTGTTCCACTTTCAATGAAGCTCTTTCCACATTCAATGCATTTAAATGGTTTCTCCCCCGTGTGAGTTCGTTGATGTCTTCTAAGGCCTCCACTAGAACTGAAGCTCTTTCCACATTCAATGCATTTAAATGGTTTCTCCCCAGTGTGAGTTCGTTGAAGAACTAAAGCTCTTTCCACATTCAATGCATTGACATGGTTTCCCCCCCGTGTGAGTTCGTTGATGTGTTCTAAGGGCTCCACTAGAACTCAAGTTCTTTCCACTATGAATGAAGCTCTTTCCACATTCAGTGCATTTAAATGGTTTCTCCCCCGTGTGAGTTCGTTGATGTCTTCTAAGTGTTACACTATCAATGATGCTCTTTCCACATTCAATGCATTTAAATGGTTTCTCCCTTGTGTGATTTCGTTGGTGTACTCTAAGGGCTCCGCTCTGCCTGAAGCTCTTTCCACATTCAATACATTTACATGGTTTCTCCTCTGTGTGAATTCGTTGATGTATTCTAAGGTTTCCACTTTGACTGAAGCTCTTTCCACATTCAATGCATTTAAATGGTTTCTCCCCCGTGTGAGTTTGTTGGTGTTTTCTAAGGTTTCCACTTTGACTGAAGCTCTTTCCACATTCAATGCATTTAAACGGTTTCTCCCCCGTGTGAGTTCGTTGATGTATTCTAAGGTTTCTACTTTGACTGTAGCTCTTTCCACACTCCACACATTCAAATGGTTTCTCTCCTGTGTGAGTTTGTTGGTGTATCCTCATTCTTCCACAGTGACTAAAGCACATTCCACATTCCCTGCATTTAAACTGTTTCTTTGTTCTTCCCAATGAATTCACAGATGGCTCCGTAGAATTCTGACTGTCATCTTCCTCACCTGTTTGGGAGTGGGGAGGGGAGGGGGGAGAGAGAATCCTGTTAGACTTTTAAGGAAGACATGAAAGGAACTGAACACATGTGAATTCCCATTTGCACCTTTTCTTATTTTCACTCCATTGTCCACTGTCTCCATGTTCCAAATTTTTAGGAATAAAGATGAGATAATGGCAAGAGCAACCCATGATCACTCCATTCACACTTAAGAAAGCACCATCATGTTATAATAGAGATCTACGGTGGAGCTGGTTTATAAGAACCATCTCTGTCTTTCTCTTTTTCAAGTGAGGAAATGATCTCAGGCTCCAATAGAAGTCTCTCCTATGAGTAAGAAGTAAAACTGAAATACTCTTATGCCACATGTAAGTGTAAAAATATTACAACATATTAGGACCTAAACAGAGCCTGCTGGATTGGGAAAAGGCCCACCTAGTCCAGCATCCTGTTTTCAAAGTGGCCAAGCAGATGCCTGGGGGAAACCAGCAAGCAAGATTTCAGGCCAAGAGCCCTCTGCCCTCCTGTGCTTTCCAGAAACTAGTATTAAGAAGCATTATTGCCTAGGACCGCAAGGGCAGAGCACAGACACCAGCCTAATCCTTTTTTTCAAGCTATCCTAGTTGCTGGCAGTCACTGTCTCTTTGTTGGTTTTGTGCACTTAATTTGAAATTTGTACCAAGGTTGTACCACAGTCTCTCCATGTCAGCTTATGCATGAACACAATTACAGGGGCGCTATAAATTATTATCCCACTCACATACAAACCCTGACTGTAAGACTGGCATGTTTACACAATTCGCTTATAATACTGGCCACCCTTGGTCTTCATATGCCCAAGTCTATGTGAACAGACTCCAGCCAAAGGAACTGTTTATCATGATAACAGGTCCTTTGTCCCGAAAGTCCACCAAACTGGGGAGGTACATGCATCTACTGCATTTTGATGCTGGTGGAATGTATCACTCTGACTCAGTCTTTAGAAAAATAAAAGTAACATAAACTATTTAAATATATGAAGTATAATTAATGACGGGAAGCATTTCCATAGCCCCCTTCACCCATTTTTCTGGATTGGTGTACATCATTATTGTCACTTAAATCCTGCATTGGAAACAACACTAGAAATTTAAAAGCACAGAGGAAGAAAATCTGCCCCCACTACTTTATGAAAGGGATTCCAAAAACAAAGAGCTGCTTTGGAGAAGGCCTCACCCCTTCCTTCCTTCCTTCCTTCCTTCCTTCCTTCTTCCTGCCTGACCCTTCCTGCCTTTGGTCTCCTCTCCATCTTTTCTTCTTTTTCCCTCCACCATCCAGCCATCCATGTCCCCATCTCCTCTCCCCTGGAACTCACCAGATTTCTCTGAGGGTCCCGGGAGGGGATGCTCAGAGGTCGTAGGGAGGGATGCAGGAGACAGCTTGAGCAGGTCACCTGTCCATCTTCCTCCATCCATCCTGACCAGGTTTGCAGGTTCATTTTTTTAGGAGCGCAGAAGCCAGGGCATGTTGTAACTTCCTGGGTGGAAGGAAGAAGCAAATGGAGTCTCAGAGCTCCTGTAGGGATTCTGCCCGACAGTCTGCTGCCCCTGTAGAAGCCCCTATTGGGCTCCCGCTTCCAAAGAGCCTCCACCCATTTTCAAACACCTTTGGCAATTCCTTCCGTCTGCCTGTCCCTTCTCCCTTCCCAAGGCTGGCATGGTATGGGCAGTAGTGGCCTTGTGGCAGTTGCCCAAAGGGCCACAATAAATGTGATAATGTGTACCCCTTTAAATCCTTGAGTGTGATTCTAAAACAGAAGTTATGGTAGCCTGTGCTTTATGAAACTGATTATTTTGCAAGTTGCCGCCCCCCAGTTGGGGCAGAAATACAGCTAATAAGAGAATCACAAAGATACAGCTGAAAGCTGGAACATGAGTTGCCACATGATGCAAATGGCTGCATATAACACAGCTTACCAACATGCACACCATCACAACGTAAAAGAACGCGGTAGGCATCAGAACATATTCAGCAGAAATAGCCAGTGCTTGTTAGAAATAGGAACATGTGCAGAAGTTCTTGCGGAAAGGGGGCAGGGCCTTCAAAGGTCTCATAATCGACCCAAAACAACAGATAAATTATATAAATACCACTGCCTGGACCACATATGTGGTGGAGGTGTGAGGAAATTAAGAAATTTTGGATAGCAGTATACGAAGAATCAAAGAAGATGTTGAAAATATCAATAACAAACAAACCAGAGACATATCTCCTTGGATTGACAGATGATGAGATACCGGGGGGGGGGGGGAATTTTCCGTATGCAAGTACAGCTGCTAGAATACTGATTGCTGCTAGGTGGAAGTCAAAAACAATACCCACAAACGTGGAATGGATTTGTAAACTAAATGAATATTTAATTCTGGCAAAATTAACTGCTATAATAAGAAATGAGTCGAATCAAAAACTTAAAAAGGAGTGGAAATTTTTTGATGAATATATGGCAAAATTTTGCTCAAAAAAAGATATGCTAATATGCCTAGATCGCTCACTTGCTCGGTCCCTGCTCCTGCCAACCTAGCAGTTCAAAAGCATGTCAAAGTGCAAGTAGATAAATAGGTACCACTTCAGCGGGAAGGTAAACGGCGTTTCCGTGCGCTGCTCTGGTTCGCCAGAAGCGGCTTAGTCATGCTGGCCACATAACTGTCTGCAGACAAATGCCAGCTCACTCGGCCAGTAAAGCAAGATGAGCGCCCCAACCCCAGAGTAGGCCATGACTGGACCTAATGGTCAGGGGTCCCTTTACCTTACCAATGCTGAAGAAACTGAACTTGACCAATTCTAGGAAGACTTACAACACCTTCTAGAACTGACACAAAAGAAGGATGTTCTTCTCATCCTAGGGGATTGGAATGCTAAAGTAGGGAGTCAAAGAGATAAAAGGAACAACTGGCAAGTTTGACCTTGGAGTTCAAAACGAAGCAGTGCAAAGGCTAATAGAGTTCTGTCAAGAAAACAAGCTGGTCATAACAAACACTCTTTTCCAACAACACATGAGATGACTCTACACATGCACATCACCAGATGGGCAGCATCGAAATTAAATTGATTATATTCTTTGCAGCCAAAGATGGAGAAGTTCTATACAGTCAGCAAAAACGAGACCTGGAGCTGACTGTGGCTCAGATCATCAGCTTCTTAGAGCAAAATTCAAGCTTAAACTGAAGAAAGCAGGGAAAACCACTGGTTCAGTAAGATACAATCTAAATCAAATCCCTTATGAATACACAGTGGAAGAGAGGAACAGATTTAAGGATTTAGATTTGGTGGACAGAGTGCCTGAAGAACTATGGTTGGAGGCTCGAAGCATCATACAGGAGGCAGCAATGAAAACCATCCCAATGAAAAGGAAATTCAAGAAAGAAAAGTGGTTGTCCAATGAGGCTTTACAAACCGTGGGGGACAGAAGGCAAGCAAAATGCAAGGGAGATAGTTAAAGATACAGGAAACTGAATGCAGACTTCTAACAAATAGCAAGGAGAGACAAGAGGGACTTCTTAAAAGAGCAGTGCAAAGAAATAGAGGGAAACAATAGAATGGGAAATACCAGAGATCTGTTCAAGAAAATTGGAGATATTAAAGGAACATTTTATGCAAAGATTACCATAATAAAGGACAAAAGTAGTAAGGACCTTACAGAAGCAGAAGACATCAAGAAGAGGTGGCAAGAATACACAGAGGAATTATGCCAGGAAGATATGGATGTCCCATACACCCCAGGTAGTGTGACTGATGACCTTGAGCCAGACATCCTGGAGAGTGACGTCAAATGGGCCTTAGAAACCACTGCTAATAACAAGGCCAGTGGAAGTGATGACGTTCCAGCGGAACTATTTAAAAGATGATACTGTTAAGGTGCTACACTCAATATGCCAGCAAGTTTGGAAAACTCAGCAGTGGCCAGAGGATCAGAGAAGATCAGTCTAGAACGCAATGCCAAAGAAGGGCAGCACCAAAGAATGCTCCAAGTACTGCACAATTGCGCTCATTTCACATGCTAGCAAGGTTATGCTTAAAATTCTACAAGGCAGGCTTAAGGAGTATGTAGACTGAGAACACCCAGAAGTGCAAGCTGGATTTTGGAGGGGCAGAGGAACCAGAGACCAAATTGCAAACATGCGCTGGATTAGGGAGAAAGCTAAAGAGTTCCAGAAAAACATCTACTTCTGCTTCATTGACTACGTAAAAGCCTTTGACTGTGTGGACCACAGCAAACTATGGCAAGTTCTTAAAGAAATGGGAGTGCCTGACCACCTCATCTGTCTCCTGAGAAATCTCTATGTGGGACAAGAAGCAACAGTTAGAACTGGATATGGAACAACTGATTGGCTAAAAATTGGGAAAGGAGTACGACAAGGCTGTATATTGTCTCCTTGTCTACCGTATTTTTCGCCCCATAGGACACACCAAGTTTTTTGGGGGGGAAATAAAGGGGGGGAATTATTTTCCACCCCCGGCGCTTGTGGTCTGGGGACAGCGGGAAGACGCGCTGCGCCTCCCAGCTGCCCCCGGAGCTTGCGGGGCTGGCGGCGGGGAGAAGCACGCATCTCCCCGCCGTCAGCCTCCAAACCACATTAGGAGACAGTGGGATGGCGGCGTTCCGCCTGCCCGCTGTCACCCGACCTTGTGGGGCTGGCGCTGCGGCTCTCCTGAAGCCTGGAGAGCGAGAGGGGTCGGTGCACACCGACCCCTCCTCGCTTTCCAGGCTTCAGCGAAAGCCTGCATTTGCCCCATAGGACGCACACACATTTCCCCTTCATTTTTGGAGGGGAAGAAGTGCATCCTATAGGGCGAAAAATACGGTATTTAACTTATATGCAGAGGACGAGATAGTTGGACAGTGCTCTTAAAGCTACTAACACGAGTTCGACCAAAGTGCAGGAGGCAGTGGAAAACAGGAGTGCCTGGTGTGCTCTGGTCCATGGGGTCACAAAGAGTCAGACACGACTAAGTGACTAAACAACAACAACGATGTCCAATCAGCATTCCCTAATGTAGAAGCAACTGTGAGAATGTTCCTCTGAAAGATGACTGCAAATTGCCATTTGTAAAGATCCGTTTCTTGACTGAAGAGGATAAAAAATGAATTTGGAACAACAATGTCTCAAGATAAATTATGTTACTTCAGCCTCATGTACATAGAAAGTGACAAGCTAAGCAGTTTATCATTTGATGATATCATGAGTGACTTTGCTTTGGCAAAGGCAAGAAGGAAAGTATTGTAATTTAGATCATGTTTGTGTACTGTTTGTATACACAGTACACAATGAATCATGATAAAATTATACAGTTGAATGGGTACTGGGTAGATGCATTAATACAATTAGTCCTGTAAAATAATTTTAATGTACAGGTGTGTACAGTATTGGTATTATTTATAAATGCAACATATTACTAGAAATACTGTCTTTTACACTCACTAAGTGTAACAATGTACAAAGGTCTGCTGTCCCAATGAAGAATGTGGACTATTATGGTAATATTGATACTTATATAAAAAAATGCATTGTATTAACTACAATTGCATTGTACAGGTTATAACATTTAATTTCATATTAATAATGCTATTTATAATTATTAGTAGTTTGCATCATATATTTACACCTATTATTATAGCAAGTTTCTAGACTAGATCAGGAGTCTTTGTAAATTGTGTTTCTAAAGGAACTTTTGTTATTGCCAAATGCCAATGTGTTTGCATTATTAAGTTTGTTATGAATAACAAAATCATTTTAAGTTAGAGCTTAATAATTATTTCACTATTAATATACTTCGTAATTGTATTTCAGTTCAACAATTACTTTGAGAAAATACATACTCTGTTATGTGCAAATGGTTTTAGATACCTATTAGGTCCATAAATTACCATACAGCCTATATTCAACACAAAAAACAGCGACAATTTGTTGTTGACAAAGAACAGCTGGACATATAAAAGGCCCCATTACCTCCAGTAGCTTAGGGCCTCATCAAACCTGCCCCCACTACTTTATGCAAGGAGTTCAAGAACAAAGAGCTCTTTGGAGAAGGCCTCACCCCTTCCTTCTTCCTGCCAGGACCCCCCTGCCTTTGTTTTCCTCCCCATATTTTCCTCTTTCTCCCTCTGCCATCCAGCAATCCATGTCCCCATCTCCTCTACAAAACGGAAGACTTGGATGTTTGGATGTTTTTGGTGTTTCTTATTTTGTTGGAAGCCGCACAATGGGGGCGGGGTATAAATAGCATTTATTTATTTATTTATTTATTTATATTATTATTACTACTACTATGGCGAGGCTGGTCTGCAATGCCCAACCCTCTCCCCTTTCCCGCCTCCTTCCCTGCAACTCCCATTGCCCCAGATCCAAGCAGGAAGAAGCTTCTCTCTTTCCACAACGGAACACACACCCCTCCACCTTCAAGGCCCCATTAAGAGAAACAGCTCCCTTTCCTCCCTTCTCTTCTTCTCCCCGTCCCGGGGCTTCTCATCCTGGACCCCCCACCCCTTGCCAAGCCCCTTCCCTCCTTCCCCGCAGCTGGCTTTGCACTCACCCGAAATCCTGGCAGCAGCAGCGACCCTGGACAGCGGGGGCGGGAATGGGAGCCCCCTCCTGGGAGGCAGGATATTTCCGGGGGCGGGATAATTGCAGTACCCAGCCAATGGGGAGAGGAGGGAGGGAACCTGGGCTTCAAGTACAGGGAACAGATGCTCGTTGCCTTAAAGATTGAAGGCAGAGAGTGGAAGCTGCTGGGGGAGGGGCGGCTGCTCGATACTGCCTTGGAAAGGGGGCGCGGCTTAAGCAGAACAGCTGACCCGCCCCCTCTGCCGTCCTGCACTGTCCTTGTCCTGCAAGGAATCCGCTGAGTGCAAAGCGCCTTGGGGTGCTTTGGGGGGTGTTTGTGTGCAATGCAATGCAATACCCATAATTGGGGTTGGGGTGGAGACAGAGCAGGCAGGGAAGCGGTGGGTCAAGTGTGGGGGTATTGCAGCTCATTCATCCTGGTTGCAAATAAGAGACGGGGCCTCTGCCTGAAGGTTCTCTCTCTCTCTCTCTCTCTCTCTCTCTCACACACACACACACACGTTCGTCTTCATGCACACACACACAGATCACATGAAGAGCCCTGTAGTTTGATCAATCCCATCTAGTCCCGCACCCTGTTAGAATCATAGAAATGGAGAGGTGGAAGGGGATCCTGAGAGTCATCGAGTCCAACCCCCTGCACTGCAGTAATCTCAGCATTGCGTGGCGAGTTCCCGCCCCACACCAGGATAAATAAAGACACAAGACACCATAATTTAAGGTTAAATGGGCGAATTAGGCCACAACTTTATTGAATTCAGGAATGAGAGGCATTGGCTTAGGCATTGGTCCTATCCGGCTCCAGCCCATTTGCTGGAGACACGGGAAGGGTTAACACCATAGAGGGGGAGTCTCCTGCTGAGGCACGTCAACTAGGAGCTCCCCGTCACAGCTGGGGGGGCGTGCTTTTGGCCCCCACCTCCATAGGCTTCGGACAGGGTCACGCCCCCCCCCCGGGCGTGGTGATGGCGTTCCTCCCCCCCCCACATCCTCTTAACCCCTTCTTACCAATGCCTAACCGCCACACGAGCAATCGCTCACCGCCAATACTCTCCTGCCTGAAACCAATCCCTTATCCCCTTTGCTATATCCATCAGCCAAATATCATTTCCAGCATCCGAGAGATGCACGCCATCAGCCAAATATCATTTACCGCATCCGAAAGATGCACGCCATCAAGCCGGTAGAGGGCCTCACAGTTGAAACATATCCCCGGGTGGTCAATGACCCTCCCACCCAGGGCTGCCACTCTACGCACCACCACCCGATCCAAGGCTTTTCTAGCCCTATTTATGGCTATCGGGCACCTGCAATCTCTCCAAACCCGCCTCTCCATCAACGAGGCCCAAATAAAATAATAGTGACGTTTGGGTAAGAGGCCTTAAGTTCCTCAAAGTCACTAAAGATATGCCACATCAAGTCGACTGCCTTTCTGTAAGCTAACTCATTTTCGCCTAACTGGATAACTAAAGCATCTGGGGGGCCCTCCGCTGCCGCTCTGGCCCTAATTGCGGGCAACATTTCGGCCCAGCGCATTCCCCTCCGAGAGATCCAAGATATATTGATGTAGTTAAGGTGCGGCCCGAGACCGGAATTGATGGCGCGGACCCTGGCCCAATGCACAATGCTGTGCCCGATTATCCAGATGCGCGCCCTCATAGCTCCTGCACCCTAGGTCCCCGTTAACGGCATGGTTTCTATCCCAGTGGACGGTGCAGGGCCTATGATCCAAATGTGCACCACAACGTCACCTGAAAGCAAAAGAAGGTAACAAAGCCAGGTCAGGTATACTGTGATCAGTCACACGGTCTTACGAATATATCCCTTAAATGCATCAGACTTCCACTGCCCCCAAGTCCTTCATCCTTTCAGCTGAGAGTCCCAAATGCACTGCTGTGGTGGCGGCCCCAATCCTAAAGGAGTTAACCGCGAATTCAGCTGAGGGTAAACCGCAGGCAGCAATCGCCCTTCGCATAATGCGCGTGGTCTGATGCCATGCAAAGCCGGAGCCATTCCAATGTTTGAGGAATGGACCTGAGATGTTGGTATCACGTACATGAAATGTTTAGTGTCCTTTACTGCTGATCGGTTTTGGAACATTGGACATGCAGGACTAAATTGGATCTGAACAAGGTCAGGTCTCTCAAACTACCCCGGGCAGCAGAATCTGGTTGGCCCTTAAAAACTACTTCGCCACTGCGCATAGCGCCAAAGGCAATGGAGTATGCAGCTGTAAGTAGCTGGGCCTTGTCCTCGGACCAACAGATACTTCTTAATTTTTATTTTTATTTTATTTTATTTATTTATTTATTTATTTATTTATTTAGGAATTGGCATAGAATGTCATAAGTTAAGGGCCTTCTACCATCACTTTTAGGAGGCTGCAGCCTGTGCCAGCCCTACAGTGCCCTTCACACTAAGAAGGCTACACCAGGGTCTCTGGATTAAACAACCTTACAGAAAAAGGAGATTGCCGCCTACTGGATGTTTAAGAGTCTTTGCTGCACGACCCAGCACCCTCCAATGTACCAAGTATTGCAGAGCTTCAGCCTTGGTAGGAGGTGTGTCAAGCCTAGGATTTTTTAATTTGCCTTGAGGTATGTCAAGGCTAGCTTTTTTTTTTACTATTATTAATTATTATTATTATTATTATTATTATATTTACAAATTTGCCTTGAAACTCCATCAAGTCCACCCAAGCCTTTTTATAAGATCTAAGCGTGGACGGGGCTCCTGAAGCTAATACTCCCTTCAGGACATCACGTTCCCAAGGCTCCAAAGGTGCTCCCGGAATGGCTGTGGCAATTTGCTGCACCTGGGCATCTTTTTTTTTTTTTTAAGGTTAAATGGTGCTGGAAGGAAAGCACACAAACACACACACAGTGATTTTAGCTCAATTACAGCTCCGGTGTTAAACTGCAGCAGCTGGAATGGAGCGCAAAGGGGGAAACCCCCAGAAGGAGAAAAGCCCCAAATTGGTTTCAGCTCCAAAACTAGAGAGAACAACTCCTGAAAATCAAGCAGTTTAGAAATCAAGCAACACCAGCAGCGAATGCTGGAAATTCTCTGTAAAAGAAAGGGAGCTTTTTCTGTGAAGCTACAGCATAGGATTGGAGCCCAAGAGCATCTCTCCCCTTTGGCGGCTTCCGGGAACTGCTATCAATTAAGCATAATAATATTACTATTACAACAACATTATTTATACCTGCTCATCTGGCTGGGTTTCCCCAGCCACTAGGGCAGCTCCCAACAGAATATTTTTTAAAAACCAATGAAACAGCTCCAATGAAAGCTTCTCCATACAGGGCTGCCTTCAGATGTCTTATAAAAGTCAGATAGATGCTTATTTCCTTGACATCTGACAGGAGAGCATTCCAGAGTGGGTGCCACTACCAAGAAGGCCCGCTGCCTGGTTCCCTGTCATTGAGTTGATATAGAGCAGGGGTGCCCAAACTTTTTTCAAAGAGGGCCAGATTTGATGAAGTGAACATGCGTGAGGGCCGACCAAAGTTGTTGACCTTTTTTAAGGATTGAAGTTGTTTAGCTTTTTTCTTTTTTCACAATTTTACCCCAAAGTTGTTGAGCTTTGTGATAGAAGCTGCAACCTTGGTGTTATCAGCACTACCCCTCTAACCAACTCAGCTATCCAGGTCCTCACTGGACCCTAAAATAAACAATAATGCACAGAATTAAAACAGCACCATGCCTGTTTATAGCAACAAAATGCACAGATGAGAAAAACTGGCTATAGACACATTACATGAGAGGCACACATTGGCTTATGCACACAAAATAATTCTGTATGTTTCCAACTGCAAATTTCTCAGGAGGGGAGAAGAGAGAAATGAGTAGACATTTCCCCCATTCTCAGAAATACATACTGATAGAAACTCCATATTCAATTAAACATTTAGTGATATGAGGACACGAGTTGTCAGCATCGCCCTTGAGCCAGTGCACCAACTGGACTCATGCACCTCAACCCCGACTGGGCTAGGCGAGCTGGGTAGCACCGCCAGAGACCTCCTTTCTCACAGGAACAGGTCACAGTGCTGTGGACTCACAGCTTAGAGCTGAGAGCACCGGATTCACTGTCTCAATAATACAGTCGTTGCGCAGCAGAGTTTTGCAGAGTCTTGCAGAGTATAAACCACTCAGAGAGCAGCTCTGTAGAATATCTTCCTTTTATTCTGTAACTACAACTATGATACAAAACTATATACAGAGCTGAATATTCTAAGCATAAATCAATGCTACACTGAGAGTCTGCAGCTGCTCTTAGCAGCAACCTTATCTCTAGACACGATCTCTAACACTCTCTCTCTCCCCGATACACTGACTGACTGACTCTCTCTCACTCACACACACTCAGATGTGGTGCTGGGCAGAATAAGTAGATAGCAGGACACGCCTCCTGCTCTCTGGAGAGTCAGCAGAGACCATCAGGAGATAATCAGGAGATTCTTGGGTATGGGAGGGGTGAAATCTCCTCACGAGTAGGTGTGGAACTCTAAAATATCCTGCGTAAGATGATTCCACCTCTAGTTTGAAGATGGACATAGGATGACGGAGGCTATAAGGAACAGAATTTGTGCCTTTCATGATCTGTGTCTCACTACCTGATTGGAATAACTGTGGCCACTGATTTATTTCTGGACAAATTAGCTGGTGATAGGGCCATTTTGGGTGGGTGGGTGGGAGAGAAAACAAACTTTGATGCTTGAGATGAAGTCACTTTAATAACTTGATCGCACAGCTTGATTGTTTGAACGTGTTTTGTGATATTTTAGGGACAATAGTTACACAACCACGATTTTAACTGTTGCTAATTTGCTGCGTTTCGTTAACAGAGGCTCAGCTTTTCTTTGTCTCCATTCCTCCCAGGGCATTCGGCTTTTCACCCACATTCGTCAGCCGTTTTACTCTTCCACAAATACAAGACCCTCCTTGCTTTGTTAATGTCTCATTCACTCACACTCTGCCTACATCACTTTGCTGCCATTCAGCCTCTCCCCTGAGCTCCCTTCAATTCCCCCCACCAACACTCCCAATTATCTCTCTCTGCAACCCACACAGCACCCCCCACACCATCTTCTCCCAGTTTTTTTGCTCTGGTTTCTCCATACCCCCTGCCCCCAGAATCCAACCTCAGGTGCAATTCTCTACCAGCCCCTCATAACTTCTCTTCGTCCCATAGATTTTGCCCCCCAATCCCGGTTTTTAAAAGAGCGAGTGAGCAGTCCTCGATTCTACTCCCACAGGCACCCTTCCTCCCCAACCATCCCTTTTTTCCTGCGCTCCCCCCAGTCCACTTCCCAAAGGTTGCCACCTTTTCATTGGCACCTGCTCTGCACCCTTTTAACAGCACGAAATCCAGCAGGGTGCCATTCTCCCTATTCCTTCGATTGCTGGATTTCTGCTTACACCTCTTGCCAAGGGGGAGGGAAAGAAGGAGTGGCAACCCTGAACTTGCCTTGGATCCTTCACCCCCCCCAACCCCTCACTAGACACACAGCTCTCTTCTCCAGATCACCTACTTTAAAGTCTCTGTTCCTTTCCACGCCAACCTGCTCTGCCTCATATTTTGGTGTCAACCCACCTGCAAAAACCCCTCACGTCCAAGCTTGTAAAAAGGCAAGCAAGACCCATCACCACTATCGCCTGTGCGCTGCTCTTTAGGGTGAGCTCTCACTTCCTGGCTCCTCCAGACGTCCCCCCCCTTAAAGTGATTGAAGGCTCTTTCTTCCTTCCTTCCTTCCTTCCTTCCTTCCTTCTCTCTCTCTCTCTCTCTCTCTCTCTCTCTTTCTTTCCCTCCCCTCTCTCTCGGGCACCGCGCCCTCCTCCCGACCCTGCCGCACTTCCTCAGCGAGGAGAACCACAGAATTGTAGTCAGACGGGACCCCCAAAGGTCCTTTAGTCCAACCCCCTGCGATGCAGCAATCTTCACTGAAGCATCCATGGTAGAAGTCCCCTCTCAGCCTCTCCCACGTTCCGCCACACGTCCATCCACCGGCCGCTCCAAGGCTCCTCCTGCAGGGCCAGAAATGCTCTGACGGCGCAGCCATCCCTCTCCTACCCTTTTCCCACCCGCCCCATAGTAAGCAAACAGGGGCTGGATCGCACACTGCCCCCGGGGTCGGTCCTCCTGCAACCCCTTTCCCACCCACCCGCGTTTCAATTCCCTCCGAGCTGCAGCAGGACTCCGGAGCTGCTGGACGAGGAGCTCGGCGCAAGCGGATGGAAGTCCCGGGGAGCAGCTCCGTCACCTCCGCTCCCCTCTCTCCTACTGCCGGAGCGGAGCCACGGCCCCGGAGCCCCAGGCGCTCCCAGCCCCACCCCCCGGCGCACATTGGTCCGAGGAGGCCCCGTGGGCGGAGACTGGTGAGCCGGTATTAAAAATCACATGGGCAGCATTCAAAAGAGAGGCAGTAGCGAGAGAAAAAAGCAAGAATAAAAGGTGAAGACTGGCGGCCGGCGGCGGCTACACGGGCCACATGACGAGGTCTGGCGGGCCGGATTCAGCCTGCGGGCCTTGTGTTTGACACCCGTGATATAGAGCATCTGTCCTAAATTTGTCGGCTTCTGTCAAAGAAGCAGAATCAGGACATTTTTAATGTCTGATGTCTTATTATGTTTTTATATTTTGCTGGAAGTCATCCAACTTTCCTGGAGAACAACAACAACAACAGTAATTATACCACTTGTTCCATCTGAAAATTTATTTGTACCAGTGCATTTGGGAGCATCAGAATAACTTGAGGTAATATATTCATACAAAAGCTTTGCTCCCGATTCATTGCAATCCTACCAGCTGAATTTGATCTGAGTCCTGGGATAACTCAGTTGGTAGAGCATGAGACTCTCGGGGTTGTGGGTTCGAGCCCCACCTCGTCAAAAAGATTCCTGCATCGCAGGGGGTTCGGCTAGAACATCCTCTTGGTCCCTTCCAACTCTATGATTCTGTGGTCTATGAACCTCACTTACTCACAATGAGGGCACCACCACAATTTTTTATTAAGCAATTTTTTGTATAATAGGAGTTTGCCTTTGTAAAATTGGAGAGCGAAAGGAGAAGGAATCTTAGGGTGGGCTTTTTTTGTGGGGGACATGAGCTGGACCATCAAGAAGGCTGATCGCCGAAGAATTGATGCTTTTGAATTATGGTGCTGGAGGAGACTCTTGAGGGTCCCATGGACTGCAAAAAGATCAAACCTATCCATTCTTAAGGAAATCAGCCCTGAGTGCTCACTGGAAGGGCAGATTGTGAAGTTGAGGCTCCAGTACTTTGGCCACCTCATGAGAAGAGAAGACTCCCTGGAAAAGACCCTGATGTGGGAAAGATGGAGGGCACAAGGAGAAGGGGACGACAGAGGGCGAGATGGTTGGACAGTGTTCTCGAAGCTACCAGCATGAGTTTGACCAAACTGTGGGAGGCAGTGGAAGACAGGAGTGCCTGGCGTGCTCTGGTCCACGGGGTCACGAAGAGTCGGACACGACTAAACAACAACATGACTTTGCTAGTCAGCGGGCAGAAGGAGCTTGGGTCTGTGGGATATGAAAGTCATAGCAGTCAGGTACAACATTCCTAGAGTGGACATGCTAGGGGATGCTTTGTACAACCCAGGAGAAAACTTCCTCTTTCCTCCTGAGCTGGGACAAGCGCTTCCTCTACATGTGACTTGAAATAGGTGTGGCCTATTCTGGGTGGAGGAGCACAATGCTCCGTGTGCTTCATTCATTCTTCTCCATTTTGTTTTTTTTCTATGTGTTAGGAGAAATGACTGCTCAGTCGCAGTCACTTGGGACTAACTCCCTTAGATTATAGAATTTTCCTATGTAATTTTGGTTGTTTATATTTATATGTACCTGTTTAAAGCAAAATAAAAGTTATAAAAAAAAACATAAAACAAAAAGAAAATGAATGAACTACCTGTATATTGATTTTAATAAGATTGTCGTGTCTGCACTTTTAAAGAGGGATAACAAGGGATCTTATCAGGAATCTTAATTAGTGAGGCTCAGACTGAAGGGACAGGATACCCAAATCCTGTCTGTGAAATCACCCCAGGCTTCAATAATCACACCAGGCCTCAAAACTGTCCAAAACTCCTTTTGTCTTCTAAAAATCCAAAACAGCTTTTCTCTGCTCTCCTCTGCTCTATCACAAGATGCTGTGCATAGGCAAAATGTTACTTTTAAAGGCTAGTGAATAGGCTCTGTTCATAGCAGGTCTGAGAAACTGAATCTGATCTCATTCTAGTTGCAACATCTCTGGACATGCTGAACCACTCTCATTCCCCTTTTCCTGGGAAGGGCGCCAAGAGTCCAATAGTCCCAAGACAGCTTTCTGTTCATGCTCAGAGGAACTCATGGGGCAGGACTCTGGGAGGAGGAGAAAGGGGGACGGATCTTGTGCACATGATTGTGAACTCGTGCATGCTTTTTGTGACTTATCACACTTGCTCCTTCTACCAGTTCATGGATGGTAGAAATAAAAGCCTTTTCTCCGAAACTATTCCTTGAGTGTCTGTTGACTCCCACTTCCCTTTCCCAGGCGCAATACTTTTCCCACCCGAGGGCAAAGCCTCATAAGGCTACAAGACAAGCCTGCAACAAGCTTACCGTTGTGCAAATTTGAAAAGGAGAATGTTTGAACTATGCTAAGATATAGAACTTGTTAACACAAGTTAGTAAGGATATCATCAAATAATATATCCTCTCCTGCCTTTCTAAACATTCCCACAGGTCAGTCCCTAGCTAGAGATCTGCCATCCCCTTGTCTCAGTCCAGATTTGGGTCTCTGCCTCCTGGGATTTTAGACACACACGGTTGCCACATGTTGACTGCAGCAGGCAATGGCTCCCTCATGTGTTTGAACAGCCATTGGGGGTCACTCTCAAACACCACAGAGATTGGGCGTTGCTTTGACGAATATCCTGCAACAAACCACCTTCCTGAGCCCTCTGGTCTCTCCCACTGCCAATAAAAATAAAATACCTGCTTACCTGACGCTGACACAAAAGCTCACATACTATAGAAATGAATGAAATGTTTATTTCTTTCCCACTTTCCTTCCCTCTCTCTTCCCACTTTTCTCCCCCCCCCCCATTGCCCAGAACAGTATTGTCTCACTCTGAATAGGACTGACTTGTTTGAAGGATTCTGTGACTTGAAAACAGGGACTCTGGGTGTACCCAAGAATTTAATAAAAACATTTTAAAAAACAACAGTCTCTCTCATCCATTAACATTCTTCAGTGCAGCTTCATTGGAAAGCCATGGAATGTGATCCTGCAAAGGGCCAGTCTAGGAATTAGGGCTGCCACCTTGTTTTGCACCTAAGAGGCAGACAATATGTGGTAGGTAAATAAGACGTTTTAGGTTGTAGTTGAGGAAATTTCCTCTAAGCCCCCAAACACACTCTAGAAAGCACATAGATAACATGTACGCAGCAGGTTTACTATCACCTTATAACATGCCCTGTATGGAGCAGTTATGGAAATCTCAATATGGTGCCTATCTGTTATTCTGAGATGTGGGCTGCAGTACAAAATAACAGTTTTTGTGCAGCCTGGGCCTATGCATATTTAGGAGTCCCATTCGGTATTTTAAGGAGTGGGATCAAGGGTTTCCTGACCCACTTCTTACAATGTATGTAAGTAGCTTACAGCAAAAAAAGCCTAATGACTCTTCTGGGTAACTGAATGAATTATTTTAATAAAAAATTAAATGGGGAGCATATTTTACATTGTCATATTCATGCAAACACGGTTCCACTCCAACCTCACTTAGTCCCCATTTCCCCCTCTATAAAGAGTTCTTTATACAGAAATCTCCTGAACAGAAGTCTCTCTATTTACATGCATAATCACTCTGCCTTATGGCACCCTGTGTCTTTTGCAGTGTCCTGCATTCTCCTCACAGACACACAGAAACAGGGAACAGGGATATGCAGCAACAGCAACAGCAGCAGCCAGCCAGACTCACTACAGCTCCCAGAATGCTTTGGGGAAATCCATGACTGACTGAAGTGGTACTAGAATGATTTAAATATGGTGTGGATGTGGAGAAGGCAAGCAATCAGGGATGACAGTGAACAAATGGAGCCCACAATGGCAGCCTCCAGTGCCGTTTTCTGTTCCTCACAGGGCAACACAGCACTCTTCCCCACTGCCTGCCTTCTGAGATCTGGGACCGTGGCCATGGACAGCTTGTGACACAGCATTGTAGGGCAAGGCTGTTTCAAGGGAAGGTGGGAAAATGCATTTCTGCTATGGTCAAGGTTAAGTAACTGAATAGCTTTCATTTTGCTTTTCAATCACTTCTGTGAGGCTCATGCTGTGTGTCACAATTTTGGGAGCCCAGTTAGGCAAACGAAACTCATCCTAGCTTGCCTCTTTTGCATCCCAATGCAGAGCACTGTATTCAGATTATTATTTTTTTGCCACCCTTCACTATAAGGCCCCACCCTCGGCAGTTAAAAGCAGTATCAGAACGCTATTAAAATCAGTTAAAATGATTTACATTCTTTATACAGAAAGAATGCAAGCAGGATGAAAAAAGTATCCTGGCAACACACCTCCCCTCTGCCCAAAATCCAACACGAGGCAGAGTCCTGCGGGCCTATATAGCAGGACTTAGCAAAAAGCAACCATGGGCCTTGATTTATTTAAGAAACATTCTACTTTTCTGCTGCCATATCCTTCCTTTCTTCCATCATGAAACTCAAGGTGGTATACGTGTGGCCTCCTCCCAAGACCCAGGACTGCTTAGCCTAGGCAACAATATATCCTACAAGCCGGTGTCATTCAATCCTGGGTCCCTAGATGTTGTTGGACTACAACTCCCATCATCCCCGGCGCTCTTAGTCAACAAGGACCCAACTCTGATGAACTCGGTCTTAGGCCGGAGCCTGCAAGTAAGTGTGGGAACATCTGGCCCTCCAGATGTTGCTGAATTACAACCCCCATCAGGCTCAGCAATCGTCATCTATGGCTGTGGATGATGGGAGGTGGATGCTGCCATTGAGAAGAAGTTGAAGGCAAGGTACTCTCTCTATCTCCAGTGCACCAGAGCAGCCTGACATGGATGAAAATGCTGAGGCACTGAGTGCTTCTGATCCAAAACATTACCCTTTTCCAGCACACTCCATTGCTATCCATCCCTCTCCAGTTTTCCATTCCTGCTGTCCACCAGCGCCCCACCCCCAGTTTTCTGTATCCACTGACCATGTCCAGTTCTCCTTGCATGGCTCTGGCTATTCCCCCCCCCCCACCTAAAAATTTATTGGACATACGTAACCAGTGGAGCTGCCTCAAGGTTACTGGTACCTCCCTCTCTTCCTTGGAAGA